TGTTTTCTTGGAGTTAAGCATGGGGCTGCTTGCCAAAAGGTTGGTGGTTCAAAGCCACCAGCCACTTCTAGGGAGAAAGTGGTGACATTCTGCTTCTATAAAGATTTACAGCTTAGAAGTCCTCATTGAGGCAGTTCTATGCTGTCCTATAAGGTCGCTAAGAGTTGGGATAGACCCCATGAAAGTATCGCTTGTTTGTTTGTTTGTTTGTTTGTTTGTTTGTTTGTTTTGGTTTTAGAAAATCCTGCCTCTATATGAGATCCAAGCTGTGCTGGGGGAGGCAGAGGGGCTGAGGGAGGGTGCCAATGTAAGAGAGTCTGAGGCTAGAAGTTGGGCAAACACCCTAGGATTTGGACAGACTCTACCTCTTCGCATTTTCCTTTTGGACCTACCTGGTTGGATCCCTAAAGGAGCCTTAGTAGCACAAGGTGAAGTGCTTAATTGTGCATCAGAAGGTGACGTTCAAGCCCACCAGCCACTCTAAGAGAGAAAGATGTGGCAGCCTGCTTCCATAAAGATTCACGGCCTTGGAAACCCTGTGGGAGAAGTTCTACTCTGTCCTGTAGGGTCATTATGAGACAGTATCAGCATCTTAGCATGGCTCCCTTCTCCTCTGATTGGTTCCTTGGGCAACAGTGTTTTCCCAATTGGCTGGGGAATAGTGCATTTGACTCTCTCCTCCCAGTGAGCACGCCACCCCCTTCTCCAATGATCTCTCCATCTCCTCTGGATTTGCCATGCGTGTAACACTCACTTTCCTATTGGTTCTAACCCAAGTCCTTGTGCTTAGGATTCCCTCTGGATTGGTTCTTTCCATAAAGGTCCCACCCTTTGGGCTAGTGATTGGTTCCTGAAGACACTGTTGTCATTCCATTGGCCAAAAGTGGACCCATTTCCATCAGGGAGCCTTTTGTGAAAGCCAGTCTTTCTGAATCGTTCCATAGAGATGATCAATGTTCTCTTACCATGAAGATGAACCTTATTGACCAGTGGAGTGTGTATGCACACACATATGCATGTACATGAGCACTCATGAGGAATTCGGCTTCTTTCTCTCACACTTGGTAACTGAAGTCAGTGTTCTCTTCATTCTTGGACAAGAAGCCCTTGACCGCAGCCTTAACCCCTCCATGTAGTCTCCACTCGGTTCTCTCAGGATTAGACCGTTAAAGCAGCATTCTCTTCTTCTATTGATTAGGATTTGTGTCAATATCTCCTGACAACCAGTCTATAGCCGTACACATGGAAGCCCCACCTCTCTCATTTGTTCAGGGCAAAATGCCTTTATCCCCCATTGGCTAAAGGAGAGCGAAGATGTTAAGGAAATGGTTCTAAATGGTGGATACTACAGAGAGAAGGACCTTGTGGGCCTGTTTGGTGAAATTCCTCTGACCTTCCTCTTACAGGGCGATTCTGGGGGCCCCCTGGTGTGTAATGGTGTTCTGCAAGGCATTACATCTTGGGGTTCTGACCCCTGTGGGCAGCCTGAGAGACCTGGCGTCTATACCAACCTCTGCCGATACCGGGACTGGATCAGGAAGACCATAGGCAAGACGGGTTGATTCTAAGAGTTCTAGATTCTCATCAATAAATTACAAAAAAAAGAAAACAAATCAGCTTGACTCCTTGCTTGTATTTCTGCGATCTTGTGGGGAGGTGTGTTTGGGTTGGATATTTTCCAGACAGTTTTATTAGCATCTCGTCCACGTGTCATGCAATTCAATCCTTCAGTCACCTCAAGAAGAGCTGTGCACTTGTCACCCTGTTCCATTCTCGAACATTTCCTTCTTCCTTGTACTCTCCGTGATTCGTGTAAGTATTGTTATTTTTCCTAATGGTGGCCAACAGCTGGATTTTTAAGAAAAAACAAAACCAGAGACCCTCCCCTCGGTGTCAAACGAAATGTATGCCCAAATCCAGTCCAAATCAAATCCATGGGTCACATGCGAGCTGGAGGTTCCCCTTGACCAGTGGTTCTCAACCTTTCTCATGCTGCGACCCTTTAAGACAGTTCCCCACGTGGTGGTGACTCCCCCAACCATAAAATGTTGTTTCCATAAAATTACTCGCATTGCTACTTCACGGTCATTTTGCTATTGGGATGAACTAGGTGACCCCCACCCCCAAGAAATCACGAGCCACAGGTTGAGAACTGCTGCTCTAGACTCACGGAGCTGCAGGTCTTTGAAGCAGGAAGCTAGATCACAGGCTGGTGTGTGTAGAGTTGTGTGGATCCAAAACGGGCTCCCTCAGCTCCAAGGGCTGGCAGGCACATTGGCCGGCAGAAGCAGGAGGGAGGAGGGTAGAAGAAAGAAACCCGTTCTCCACAGGGTGCCTTGTGTTTATTTGACCTGTGGGGAGGCCTGTTTGGCTGGAGTTTTTTTTAAAGCAGTTTTATTAGCCAACAAGGCCACTTTACCAAGAAGACGTTATTAGGCTATGACCTGTGAATAAATTGATGTCATGCTTATCTTCTTACAAGTGCCTCGAGCTGACAAAAACCTACCCATCACAGGATGACTATGAGGTTGGCGGGGTGGTGGGGAGCATGGGCCCCCACTGGGAGTTCTGGAGAGAGCAGGACCCCCCCCAGAAGCCATCACGTCTTCCTGGGGGAGACCCCTTTTTCTGTAAAGATTGTGTTTGTGAGATAGTTATTTCCATTGAGAGAAGATATGCCGAGGTGTTCAAATGGCCAATGGGCAGCTCTGTGAAAACACTTGAAGGAGTTTATGTTTTTTGTTGAATTTTCCCAAGCTGCCCAAAGAGCCTTAGCAGCACAATGAGTCACTCATCGGGCCGCTAACCAGTCAGGAGTTCGAAACCACCAGCCGCTCTGTAAGAGAAAGATGACGTTTCTACACCCATACAAAGCCACAGTCTCAGAAACCCACCCAAAGGAGTAGCCCTCCCCTCCCCTGTAGGGTCGCCGTGAGTCAGAATGAACTCGAGGACGGTAAGTTCGGTTTGGGTGAAAGTGTTTCAAA